CTCCTGGGAATTTGGCTGGTGGATCACAGACACGGATAATGGGATAATGGGACGTTCCTCCCCTGCTCTTGCCGGCAGGAAGTGTTTTATTTATGATATCACATAATATTTGCTCTGTTTCAAGACAAAAGGAGAGGAGCTGTCTCTGCTTGCTTTCCAAAAATAATCTTTTCAACCTTATTCAAGTCCTCAAAGGGAGTCCCTGCGTTACCTAGTGAGGGGTTTGATCATCTCCTGTGTGAAGTTAATGTCCCCCTTACTGTTTATTTCAATGCCATGAGAGCAGGGCCCAAGGATCAGCCACGCTTTGCTAATCATACCCTATTAAAATAATTGCTAAAACCCATGCTTTGTCTTCCCCCCCAGGCTGAAAGGTATTTGTGTCAGGATAAGAGGGATCAGTAAATCATCAATACAATCGACTGCTTTGCATGTAATGATTTTACTTTAATTTAGCAACCCAGTGGATTGATTTTAAAAATTAGCATGTCCTTTCCAAGTTCTCAGAAAAGAGAAACTAATACATTTATTACAGAACCCTATGTTTTTGTCCTGACAGAGAACTGTATCCACTCAGGAATGCTAGCACAAGTTTTACTGCCTTTTATTTTTCCCTGCTGTTAATGTACATTTAAAGTGAATCCCCACGCTTCAGAGGAGGTTCAGCTATTTTCAGCTACAAGTAAGCAAAGCCATATTTGGGTCACAAAGAATAAACAGCAGATCTTCACTTTAGATTTTATAACACCAGTTTAACCTATTGCTGTGTTATTTAATCTTAATTGAACCGTGATGGAAAATTAAGGTGGATAGTTAGTTATCAAAGAAAAATTGGGTGGTGTTACATTTCCCTTTAAGGAATTAGTATAATGTTTCATATTTTGCTTATTTTCTCTCTTCAAAAGCAAGCAATTAGCCTGCTAGCCCTCCCCTATTTGGTAAATTCAGCATGCAAAGTAAGAATCACTTGGTAAAAATATTTTCTAGGAAAAAAACCCAAAAGTAGTTTTTTGGATTTTATGCAAGTGCAGTCTTTAAAACGAAAGCATCTAGAGCAGTCCAAGAGACAGTATGGCTCATTTTTTTTAAAGAATATAGAAGACTGTAATACTTTTTTTCCCCATCACATTTCTCAGCAGCTGATCTTTCCCTTCTACAGGAACATTCTGCAGTTCCACACAGTCACGTGCTGTTACCGGCCTGACTGGGAAAGATTCATTAAACTCGACCAATTTTTAGAGAGAGATTTATCCACGAGAATCGTGCAATAACTAATCTGATGCTGAGCAGCAGCATTAACACAAGGACAAAACTTGCAAAGCTGAATGCACACCACAGAATTGCTCAATTCAGGACTCCACAAGCCAGGCCAGTGGTCTCTCAGCTCGGGCTGCTTTTGTGGCCTGTTTTAACAGCCCACTCTGCATTATCCCAGCAGCTGCTGGGGCAGCTTCCAGCAGAGCTCTTTGAAAACCATTTCAATAGCAGCTTTTCCAGATGTAGGTTCAGAGCAAGCCCAATGCTCTGGCTCTTCAGGATAAAAAGCAAACTGGAAGCTGAGTCTGGAGCTTTCAGCTCAAAGAATCTGCTCTGAAACACTGTAATGGTTCCACAGGGCTTCACTTGGAGAGTGGTACAAAAATGTGCCCAAGTCGTCTTTCCACCTCCTCCCCAAGTTTTTTTTTCCCCCTCCCAGTATACAAGTTGTCCAATAATCTGTATAAAGTTAAAATGATTTCTAATAAGGCTTCAGAAAAAAAATATTTTATACCCATAATAGAGAAAAAATACCCACTATAATTACTGTCTCACACAAGGAAGGATGACCAGCTATCCAACCTACCAAATTATTTACTATGCAATGAGATGGGCTTTTATGGAATAAATAAATTATGCAAAGACACAACTTACCCAGTAGAGAAGCATCTTTATAATGTTGGTAGCTCTTAAGTTACAGGAATTTCAAACTTTAACTCTTCCTCTCTTCAAAGAATCACAGTTGTTTAGCAAAGATCAATGTCAAGGCAATAACTTACAATTATCAGAATTTTTGTTGAGTACACTCTGTCATTGGAGATTATTCTATTATTGCATAGCAACTGCTGAACTAGAGGAGCAGTTTAAAATACTGAATTGAAAAAGTTCCAGCTTTTCCATTCTCTCCCCTAATCTGAGATTCTGCCTGTTATTAGAGGAGGATTCAAGGCAAAGGGATATGTGTATTCTCTGGTGTTCTGTAGCATATTTTTGCAGTACCAGTTTCCAGACCCTCCTCTTCCCCTTCCTGCTTTCTCTCTCTCCCTCTCCAAACCACTGCAGGATCCTTAGATGTACATGATGATGAAAAATGCAAGATGGTGAAAAACCACCTGATTTTTCAGATGAGTTGCCGGTTATCACATATTAATGTCCATCTCTGAGTTACTGCCACTTAAAGTTTGTGGAGATGCATCCAAGTAATTTATTTTAAATATACTGAATGTTGAAATTAACTTCTGACATTTAGACCAAGTGGGCTGAAAGCATTCAGACTTCCTCCCACTGCAGGAACAAGGTATGCCTTTGCAAGAAGCATCACTGACATTTGAAAGATGGACCTCTGAAAACTCCTAAGTTTGTATCTAAGTGGTAACAGCAAAACGGAAGGTTAATACTTCATAGCATTGCTTTTAAAACCAACCATAAGAATAGTTATCAAAAATCAATTTCTTGTATTATTTTCTTAAAATTTGGATGAGGCAGGTTCTGCATAAATAGCACCACATTTTCTTTGCCTGTGGGTATAATACCCAGCACATGCTGCATTCACCAGGGAAGTATCATACAAGTGAGAATACATAATCTCATCAGTCTTCCAAGAACAGGAAAGAACCACATACATGAAAAGATTTATTTTCTTTTTTAACTGCTTGACTTGATCTAGAAAGGGATATTTTTCCTACCATCTTTACTTATAGATTTAGTAAATAAGAGCCTTAAAACACTGAGCCTCCAAACCCCTTCTCACCCCCCAACTCCCTAAGGACTAATACTGTGACCCCAGATTATTCACCCCCTCTAAAACATTCTTTGGCTTCCATGAAATCACCGTGATAAATGAGGGAGAAGAAAAACGTCAGCTTATAGGTTCAAAGGAAAAAAAACCCGCAAAAATGTGGTATTAAGAAATACTGTAACATTAATTTTCAGTAACTTAGTCACTTTCAGGGTGTTTTTTCCTGGCTTTGGCTGGTAATTTGAGGATTTTAGAGTAATTTCTTTTAAAAAAATCCTACTGTAAAAGCAATTTCCTTTGCCTGGAACAAAATACAGAAGCCTTTGGCCAAGCTCTCACCAACCCCCCTTGCTGAACAGAACCTGGTCTGCACTATGGATCAGAGCTAAGGAACAACCAGTATTTATGTAAGTGTTCACCACTGTATAGTCAAAGCATCTACAATAAATACACTTCACTTCCCAGTAATGTGATAGCAAATAAAAAGTTACCTTAATCACACTCCTGCCACAATGCACAGCTCCAGAGGCAAAGATTTCGGGAGAGGTTTAATGAAATTAACTGTATCCTTAATTAGTCTGTCCCAGGGCCAACTGTATTACTCAGAGTAACAGTATTTTTCATTACATCTGTATAAGTACTAGTGGAAAATAGATGTATTTGAGTTTTCTCTATCAGTTTACTCCAGTGAGAGTCTAAGAAATGTATATCACAGGACTATACATTGTACTGCCTTCACTGCCAAATCTCACTTGGCACCCACAACAAGAAAAGGACTGATGGCAACTCAAGAAACCACTGACATATTCAGAGTGAGGTTTTAATTAGATCTCATCTTGGCTGAGCATCTCTCTGCATCTTGTTAGAATCCATATTCCTCTGCACTTCTCAGAGATATTTAAGCACAAGAGTCACACAAATGCCTGACGGAAAAGACAGATGAGTCAAAGTGTTGGGAAGTTCCCAGGGCAGCAGCTCACATTGCACACTCACTCTTCAGGCTTTTCTCTCCACTAAATGTCAGATGTGTCACTGATTGAAAAGCCAGTGCCTGAAGAAATTTGATTACATGCCACCATCACCCCCCTTGATTAACCAAAGCAGCAAGTGAAAAGTAAGAGGGTATATTCACCTTCAACATCATTCCTAAGCCAGAGGAAGAAAATCAGTAACTGCTGAAGTGATCACAGCAAATAGTGACAGAAGTGGTCATACAGCACTTGGTGTTTTCACAGGATGGCACAATGGCATTGAGTAAAGCCAAAATTAAGGGGGGGGGGGGGAATCAACCAGTCAAAAGCAGCAGTTTCCAAATAACAAGATAATTTGCCTTTTTATAAGGTTGTGTGAAATAGCTCAGTGTCTTGCAGGCACGGGCTCTCTGCAACACAAAACTAAAATGGCAAACAATATTGGCCTGATAATAAACAATAACCTGTAACTCCCGTTTCTCAGCACCCCAAAAAAACTGACGAAACATAAACCAAATCAGACAGACCAACACACTAAAACATTGACCCACCACGAGTCTCTTTCTGGCTGCTGACCCAGATCACATCAGGATAAATGAAAGTAGAAATTTCAGCTTTCATTTTGGTTCAAGTGTATTGCTTTTCCTGGCACGTGCTAGAAAAGGGTAAAAGTTGAGTCTTACCTTGGTCAAATCCCAGGATCCAAGGACAGCTATGATGCTGACAGCTCCAGGAATTCCACCTTCTGCTGCTTTATACTCTGCTTCTCCCACTGCCTTTTGTTGCACTCAAGAACCACTGCCTGGTCACCCCTGCTGGGTGTAGTGGCAATAAAGAATATGCCATGTTTTGCCATAATTTCTGTTACCAACATGAAAAAGGTATGTCTTTGCTGGAATAAAAAAAATCATTCTTTGAACCAAAATGAACTCATCAGTCTGAGAGGCCTTTGAGCAAGATATTTATAGACATTAAGTCCTTTTTCTTTGAGACTGCAGCCTTAGAAACATCAGACAGGAAGAAAGCCAAACATCTGCGTTGATTTTGATTGTTTAATACTCAAGAGTGAAAAAGTGTAAAATCACAAAGCTTTGTACCACCACACAAAAAAAAACGCAGTTTCATTGCAAAATGACCAAAACACAAGCTGCCTGCAAAGTTTCACACAGCTGACAACAACAAACCCAGGTTCAACATTCTGACCGTCTTCTGAAACACCTGCTGTTCACAAACATCAGCCAGCACAGAGCTCTTGGTACCTCACACATCCTTCTTTGTGCTCTATTTGCTTTCTAGACCAGTGGTTTACACACTATGGAAGACAGTGCTCCACCTCTGATCTATACCAGCATACAGTTTTTATACCACCACCCCCCCTGAAGTACTAATTATGTTTTAAAAGCATTTTGTTTAATCCAAAAGCAGCAAAGTTCTTATTTGTGTTTAATGAAAAGCATAACTGAGAGGAGTGAGCTTCAGAAGTGCATGCTGACTAAGGGTGTATCACCCATCCCTTCAGCCACAGGATAGAATTCCTTGGCAAAAGTGACCATGTGGGGTGAGTTAGTACTCCAGACAGCAGGTTATATTTGCTCTCAGTAGTAACCTGTGTACCTACAGCCCCTGCCCTGCACATGCAACCACTGGGCCTGCAGGATGTGACTGTTCATCACTTAAATACCTTTTGTTGCCTGAAGGGAGAATTATCCAAAAGTTATCATGCCAGAATGTCTCAGGTTAATGAGAGCTAAGTGGAAAATGGGCTGCTTATTGTAAAACATTTTTAGAACTTAAGCCCTTTTTTAAGTGAGACAACTTTGTTCTCACAGCTGGAAAGCGTCCACGCAAAGGAACTGTGCATATCTGTTTAATGTCACGCTAATGCACATTTCCAGTTCTCTACAATAAACCAGCTTTCCAACAATTAATTAAAATGCTGATCTGAAATAGAACTAAAGTACACTGAACAAATTTTTCCCTCCAGACAATCAAAGTAGAAATATATCTTGGTATAACCTACTGCATCTGACAGTGATGTGCAAAGGAATTTCTAGAGCTGTTGTTGCCTCGGTGGAAACAATACTGATTTTTAAATTAATTTTTTTTATCCCTCAATGCTAAGGTCACCTACATTTTATGATTCACTTGCTCCTCAGTGGTTTATTTGTGACATTACAGTCCTCTGAGCAGGTGAAGATAAACAGAACACAGTTTTGGTATTATTGTTCCTAAGGGCCATGTCTGTCAAATATTCCATAACTTACCAATAAATGGTTTTGGCATAAGTAGTTTTTTCTTGGTTGCTAAATATATTTTCTGCAGATATTTTTATATCTGTTTTACAGAGAATGGTAAATTCTCTGTGGAGAATTTACCATTTCAGCCAAGAATAAAATTCCAAGAAAACTAACACTGATTATTTTTACCTCTGTTGCTTACTATAGACCTGACTTCTTCCTTTATGTAGTTATTTAATACTTGAAGTACAGAACCTGCTTGCTTGCAGTTAGGCATGTAGCTGGAAAATTCTGGCTTAGACATGATTATTAAACACAGAGATGTTGCCATCTTTAAAATCATATGGTCAACTAAGGAAACAGAAGTATAGGATGAGACTAGAAGTATTACAATCAGTAACACCCTATTTATAAATGGAAGCACAAGATCTTTTTTGAGCACACATGAATAATTTTGAAAAAAATATTACCTATTACACAGTGAACAGTATAAATAAGCTGAGATACATGACTTTAGTGCTTCTACACAATTCAGTTTCCCATTCATTTTCCAGCCGTTGGTGGCACTTCCAATTTCAACAAATGATTCCATCCAAGCTGAGGAAAACATTCAGAAGGTTTTGCAGCGCAGACAAACCTCAGGAGTTAATCTTTGGAACATGAATACATTTGTACAGTTTCAAACTTAGTTACTAAGGCACACAGGGATGGAGCTGTCCCATCTCTGGAACAGCAGGATCCGTCAGTCAGCACAGAGCTGCTCCTCAGCTTGGCATTTACATTCAGATAGAAAGCAGCAGTCAGGTTGGGAAAATGTAGCTCTGTTAATAGTAAGGCATCTGAAAAGTGACTAGTCATGCCAGACTAAGATAGTTTAACTGGATTCTAATATGGATCAGCACACACAAAACTAGGTTTACATAACCACAGGGGAAAAAAAAAAAAAATCTCGGAGTGAGCACCCAACGGGCTGGCACAGCAAAGCCACCCAGATCCAGGTGTGTGTCTGCTCTGCAGGGAAGGTGGGGGACAGGGAGTGAAATGTGTGTTTGTGTGTGTGTGTGTGTGTGTGTGTGTGTGTGTGCAGAAATAGCAGCTTCTCATTTGTGCATGTCACTTCTCACATGTGTCCAGTATGGCATTTCTTACCCCAGTGACAAAAATATTTCGGCTGCTATTTTTGCTCCTGCCAGCACTGCCCAGGTCAGGGCCTCTGCTGGATTCTGAGCTGAACTCTGAAGTCACTGAATTACAGAGTTAAATTATGTCCTTCATTCAACCAATGTGCAATCCAAGTGAAATTAGCTTATTTTCAAATGATTTAAGTAGAAGGCAACTGTGGCCTGAGGCACACGTTACATTCAGAATAGAGAAGAAAAAAAATAAACTCAAATCTCAAGTTGGGTTTGCAGGACAAGGGGTTGAAAAGGGCATCTCGTTTGTAAACAAAGAAAGGATCATCTGGGAATGGGCTGACACACAATGATCATAAGTGTCATCAATGCCTTTTGTACAAGTTTCCTTCTAACAGGACACACATCAGCTCATTTCACTGTGTTAAGGAATTAGGCACTGTGTCATCACATTTGACACTTCACACTTACCTTTAGCAATACCTTGGATCAAGGTACCCCATATACTGCAAAATAGGTTGAGGTTACTAATGTACACAGCCACTGAGTCTGTAAGGAGTTCTCCTTACCTCAGTGGGAATTCTATCCAGTCTATTTTTTAAAGTTGTTTTCTTTTTAGAGATATTAAATGTACTACTGTCTAACCATCAAATTCACTATTTCTCATGAGGAAATACTGTGAGAAACTCTTGCTTCAGCGTTCCCTCTTTCTTTTCTGCACTGCATTCCAGCTATACAAATAATATCACTTCTGTCAATTCTTGCTATTCTTAGTTTGATCCTACAGGACATGATTTAATTTTATAGCTGTAATAACTGTCTCCTTAAATGTATTCATTAGGTATTGCATATAAGTACACAGAAATGGAACTGAAAAAATCAGCTACTACCACTCTTATTAGTCTCACATTCTGTTAAATTTGTGGTTAGTAGCTCGAGTTTTAAATAGAATTGCATAGTAATATTTTAGTAACCAAGTACAATACAGTATTAAGAAAAAAATAATTTGAAAAGTCCTGTTCGAGCACACACTTAATAAAACTGATGTGCTATAAAACAAACAGAAAAAATAGAATCCTTTCAATTCCCCAGTAGCAAATTCCTCTTTCTACGGGTGGAAAAATCTGAAAATATTAGACACAGATCTCTGAGGAAAAAAATATTAATAGCATGATCTCTCCCAAAAATAAAATTTCCAATAAAATAGTGTGCTGAATAGAGGCTTAGATTCAATACTTCTCAGTCCACTATTAATAATCTAATAGCTCGACTGTTTCCCCATCCCTTTTTTTCTCTTAAAAAAAAAAAGGATAATAAAAAATATATATAAACAAATTGCTAAGTAGGCTTCATTAAAGAGTCCTTTCAGAACCACTGTCCATCATTATCATCATCTTCCTCCTCTTCATGGTCCAGATACAGATAAGCGACTTTCTTTTCTTCAGAAATATCCGACCTTTGGTCGACCGTTCTTTGCAACTGCACAGTTTTATCAAAAAATGACTGTTCCACCACCTTTTCACCATGATCTTGGGAATAACTGGACAGAACGTAGCCACTTCTTGTGTTTTCATTTTCTGAAGTCTGGTCACTTTGAACTATGACCTGTGACTGACTCACAGCAGGGTCTTGCTGGTTGGATATCAGCACTGCTTGTTCTCCACTTCTCACTGTAGATATTCCACCCATACTGGAAACATCCATTTGAAAAGTGTAAGATGCTTCCTTGGATCCTACTTTAATATGCTTTACAGACTTGTTGCTCTCAGATGACCCTTCTGTTTGTGAAAGATCTTCCAGCATTCCAGAAACAGGTCTTGTAAAGACTATTTGCTCAGCGTGAGTTTCTACAGGACTTATTTTAACGTGCCTGAAAGATCTCGAGCCTCCTGAAAGGGTGTGGTCTTCCAGTTCACTGATTTCGGTGTGCTCAGAGCCAGGCCCATGGTAGATGATCTTCTCAGCTGTCATAAACTCTTGGGGACCCAACTGAACGTGTCTGACTGAACTTTCTGTCTGTGAGAAGTCCCTGGTGCCGCTGACCTCCACCTTACCGGAGATGGGCCCTTCAAAGATCACGTGCTCAGTACGAACCTCTCTTGGGCCTAACCTGAAGTGCCTTATTGTACTGCTGACACCCCCAGACCCTTCTGCCTGGGAAAGCTCCTCTGAGCTATTGAGTGCCAGAGAGTCCGAAAGAGACCCTTCAAAAGAGACTTCTTCAGTTATTTGCCTTGATCCTACTGTGACACGTCTCGTGGACCTGTTGAAGTCCGTTGAGAAGTTCTGGGAAAGATTTCCAGAATCAATCTCTTCTATGGTTGTTGTAGTAAAAGGGCCTGAATAAACCACTTGCTCTGTGGTTTGGATTTCCTTAGGGCCCAGTTTAAAATGTTTCACAGATTGGCTGAATTCCGACGACCCCTCTGTCTGAACGAGACCTTCTGCAGCGCTGAGCTCCAGCGTTTCCGAACCGGGCCCTTCATATATGACCTGCTCGAACCTCTGAACTTCTGCTGGGCCAACCCTGACACGCCTGGTGGATGTGGTCTCATCAGTTGATTGTGGTGAGTGAGAGACTTCTCCATAATCTGCTGTTTCCAAAACCGAACCGTCGTAAATCACTCTTTCCGTGGTGTGATACCCTGTGCCACCACTGCGCCTCGTCGTGGAGAAGTTATAGATTTCTTGATCAGCCAAAGGAGTGTATTTGTCAGTGGGAGAAGAAGCATCTACTTCTATGTTGCTTCTACCATCAACAACTCTCTCTGAGTTCTCTCTTTTCAGGGAGTGAATTGTTGCCTTCTCCTTCTCACTTTTAATTACTTCACCGAGCTGAGATTCATCAAATTCATCAGTACTGAGGGTCTGGGACAGATTGACTTCAGCAACAATTGTCACCGAGCCACCCTCCTCCTTTTGATCAACTTTTTTGATATCAAATTCTAAGTTACTAGCATCAACTCGGTGCTCTTTTGTTAGTGCAAACAGCTCCTCTTTCACACTCTCTGGGAGACTGCCCTCCAACTGCTCCAGAGCTTCCTTCAGTTGATGTTTAGGGTCCTTTGTTTCCTTGGATAAGAGCCCTTTTATGGAAGTCTGAAATTCAGGGGGAATTTTAATTTCTTTTTCAATAACAACAGATTCAACATGGGATGTTTCACCTTCAGGATGCTCTTTTAAAATATGGGCACTCGCTTCCTCCCCTACCACTTTATAGGTTTCCTCTGGAGAGCTCACACCTTCCTCTCTCTTACTCTGTGTGCCTTGCAAAAATTCATCTTGCCAGGAATATTTAATAGTTGATTCTTCTTCAATATGAATTTGCCCATATACTGAGTCATCATCTTTTTCACTAATAATAGGATGATCATCAGGAACAGACACAAAATATTTTTGTTCAATAGGCGAGTCGTCTTCCTCAGTTACTTCTTCCACATGAGTGAAACTCTCATGGCGCGGTTTCTTCTTTTTGACATCTTCATAAGTGAACGTGATGTTCTGTTCCTCTTCACCGTAACGCCTCTCTCGCTCAGGGAATGAATCCTCCACTTCTTCTACTTCAAAAGGTGTTGAAAAATCACTCCTTTCATCAGTGGCATAATCCAGTGGCTCCTCTACAATCTCAACGTTAACAGACACGTTCTTTCCCCCCTCACTTCCCTTCAGGCCGTGATGTACAATGTCCTCTATCTCCTCTTTGGAAGGAGTTCCCTCAACACCCTCTCGAATCACTTTTCTAACATCCTGGTTTGACAGACGTCCCAAGTTACCTTCATCAGAAATATCTATGTCTTCCTGAACTTGGGATTGCACTGTGATCTCGGTCTTTATTTTCCCATCATCTTGTTGCTCTTCCTTATTAAAATAGGTCACTTTGGTGTCTGTTGACGTCTGTGAACTAGAAGAGTGCGTGAAACTTTTAAGGATGTCGGCAACAATATTCTCTGCTATATTTTCAGTTGGCAGAGTTCCCATTTTGTGACTTCCATCACTAATTCGCTCTTCACCTTCCAGACTGGACTCTGCCTCTGAAATCCTCACGTGGTGAGCTTCAGATGACTCAGTTACATGGTCATCTGCTTCTCTTCCTGTGAAAGTTTTAATACCATGTACCCTTATATCTTTATGTCTCTGAGATCCTCTGTCAGGAGCAGGCCTTTCAAGAGTGATTGGTATCTCAATGATGTTGTTGCTTCTTGATTCTGAGCTCACACTTGTATCTTTTTTGGTTGATTCACTTCTCAAACTTCTTGCATTAGAAATATCACTCCCTGATACCTTCTGGCTAACTTCCTCACGGATGTATGTTTTCTGCTCAGTCTTCCTTCCAAAACCAGCACTTTCTTCTATAAAAGATTTCTCATCTGTTTTCTTTTTCTCATCCTTTGTTTGTTTCTCCAGCTTATCTTTTTCTTTCAGCAGAGATGCTTTCTCTTCAGTCGGTTTGCTGCCTCCTCTTTTATCTCTGAATATGGTCCGAGTTTCAGTTATAGTTTCTTCATATTTAGATGGTTTTGCATCAGTAATCAGCTCATAAGCTGGAAATCTAGCGAAGCCTGGTTTTGTTCTTGTATTTTCAGCATCAGTCTTGTGGTCCTTGTCTGATCTTTCAGCATGTGTTGATTCTTTTGAAAAAGACACCGTGGAAGAAGTTGTAACCTCTGTTTTCTTTCTCTCCGGAATTGTCTTTTGCTGCGTTTCAGTCTTTTTCCAGCTACTGTAGGATGGAGTAAATGTTCTTAATTCTTTGTGGTCAGTTATAATCCTTTCATCCTTTGAAACAGTTGTTGAAGGGCGATATGTTGAAGCAAGTACATCTCTTCCAAAAGTTTTTCCACTGGTACTTGTCTGTGATCCGACCCGGGTGGAGTAACGTGCAGAGCTGCTCGTGTCTGTCACTGCCATTCTGTGCCTCGTGTCAGTGATCCTGGGAGCTGGTGAAGCTTTATTTCTATTTCTCTCTTGATACGTAGAGTAAATATCTGTGTAGTTGTATGAAGTGTTTATAATATCTGCAAAAAAAGAGCACAGGGGACCAAACATTAAAATAAGGGCTTGGATCTAAAATAATGTCAAATAGAGGGCATGAATTAAGGAAATTTGTACTACATTTTTTGGAAAGAAATAGTGTCTTCATTTTCTGTGGAGCTTTGTAAAGGCATGCCTGTAGGTTTTCATGATAATTAAGTTTATGCATAAACTACATGAAAAAGAAAGCAAAGCTTTTTGTTAAGTTGCACGATCTTGCTAATTTTACCTGTTGTGAACTACTGGGTATTCTGCCATTTACTTAAGAATCACACCTTTCATATTTATACTGATGTTCACTTACAGCTTCTTATTAAACAATGTATGCTGATATGCTGATATCCTAGGCTGGGTTTTTTGCTTCACTAGTATAAATGGTCTGGAGTTTCTCAGTTCCTGTTGAGAATTAATGGCACATCTGCCACCACACACTGGAAACTGCAAACACAAACACAACCCTTCACACCCACAAGATACAACAAGGTACAACAAGGGAGAAAAATAAAGAACCCAAAACGTAAAATGTACCAGGAATGTCTGACTAAGACCAACCAGTACTGCACCACTCACATCCCCTACTCCTAAAAAGCTGGCCACATCTCCTCTGACCTTTGGTAGCCTTTCCTGTATAATTTCTGGTAATTATTCCTGTAATTCCTTCCATATTCTGTGAATACACTCGAGCACTGTCTGCAGAAGTACTGGCTACTTCAGATCTAAACTATGCCAGGACAAACCCTGCTTACAATTTAACAGCACAGGCAAATCTGTGTGAGCATTTGTGCCTGGGCCTAAGGTTTTTTTAATTTACCACTAAAGACACAGTCTTAAAATCACTTCAAGGAGTAGTGTCTATGCTACTCTGATGATTTTAGGACCAGGAGTATTATTGAGACTAACTTTGTTACTAATAACAACAGCCTGAGCAGTCAGATTGAAGGTCCATCTTATCCAGAATCCTGTTCACAGTGACCAAGAGCAGATACACAGGGAAGAGGATAAGAACAGGCAAATAAACAGTGATACTTCCCTCGCATACTCTCACAGCCTCCAGAGATTTGCAGCTCCTAAGATAGAAATGGTATCTTTATGTTTAGTAAGTCTTTGATTTGTCTTTCATTACTCTGCTAAAATATCTCTGTAAACCCACTTTTTAACACTCAAAAATGCTTCAGGATGATGAATTCCAGGGTTTTAACTACATGTTTTGTTAAACACCTCTTGCTTTATACTTCAAAACTCTCTTAAGACCTGTGGGCATCCAAAAGTTCCTTAAAGCTATAAAACATCACTCACTACTTACTTTCTCCACTCAAGTCATGATTTTTATAAATTATCTCATGTAGGATAGCAGTATGTTCATTTAAAATATTAACACTCAAAACTAATTCAATCTTCACTCTGCAATACACTCACAAAAGTATTCTTCAGGAACACCATAACACAACCATTTCCAGTTATATTTAATTTCATTCAAAATTAATTTTTTTAATATTTATATCTTACCTTGAGGCAATTTCCCTGCAAGTTGTTCTCTCCATGTAATAATCCACTGGTTGCTCTCCCCTTCTAACAAAGCTCTGAAAAACACACAAAAAGACATTCCATTAAAATACTGGGAAGGATAAGCATAATATTTAACATTTATTAGTCTTAGAAACTGGAACAATTATCCTGCAGTTGGGTCAGATCTTAAGTGTTTTTCACACCCCATGTTTTTATTACTGGGAATGAGAAATCCTTGGCATCTTCCAGACTCTTAGTTTGCAGAGTTCAGTTCCTGAGAATGGAGCAATAATCCTACAGCAGGTGACAACAGCAGACACAGGGCAATTTTACATCAAATCTTCCACATCAGTCAAAGTTTTTCTTCCTGACATGAACAAGATCCACTGATTTCCACTATGGGACCAGACAAGCTGGTAATTTTTTCCAGAATGACGTCTTATAACAAAGCCACACAAAATCTGACAAATATTCAGTAAAGCTTCCTCAGAGACACACATGGAGATCATGGAATCACAGGATCGTTTGGGTTGGGAGGGACCTTCAAATTATCCTGTTTCAACCCCCTGCCATGGGCAGGGGCACCTTCCACTATCCCAGGTCGCTCCAAGCCCCGTCCAACCTGACCTGGAACACTTCCATGGATGGGAGAGCCAGAGCTTCTCTGGGCAAGATGTTTTATAAAGAAAAGGTAAAAATTAAATAAAATATTTGCAAGCAGATAGTCTGCAGCCTTCCTGCTCATAACAGAGTGGTGAAGGTGATGCTGCAGTGTGATGTGAGGGAACTGTTACAGTCAGGACTTGCGAGTTCTACCCTTTCCAAACGAAAAGTGAAGGAAAGCGTTACTTCTACTGTCAAACCCTGTCTGGTGCTGGAGGAAACAACCAACAGCGTTAAATTAATTCCTGTTCCATAGGAAATCAGCACAATACATTTGGCAACAAAGGCCTAGGAAAATTCTCTGTGACAGAAACTTCTTGGTTTCTCTTAGTGGCATCTCTGTTTGTCCCCTCAGTTCCTCAGCCCTCCTCCTTTTTCACAGTGACACTCCAACAGCTTCTGTAATTCCAGGAAGGCAGCACTGGTGCAACAGCCTAGAAATTCTGGGTCAGGTTCTCTGCACATGCAAGGGAATGTTACAGTCAATACAGTAACTTCGCTGGGTTTGTGTTCACTTGTATTGGCGAGTTCCCTATTTCATCATAGCCAGTTTTGGGAATGCCAGATGTTCTGCACTGATAACACACAGCTGCAACATCAGAGCTGGCAAGAGCGAGGCTGGAGGACTGTGATAGCCCAGGCTTCTGACTCCCAGGGGGGAACTGGAAGCAGTTTAGGATTAGGGTATAAACACAACTGCTGGGCATTCCTGGCAGAACTAAAGCAGGTGTTTTAAACATCACCTGCACATTTCACACTGCCCATGACTCATCACTTCGGTAATTTTATGCTTCTTTCGGTTTCTCATTGCCTCAGGATTCACTGGGACAGTGCTACATCAGCAAAATATCATCAGCAAGGTTTTCTCTGCCGTCATGGATTTGTTTGGATTCAGAAGAAAAGTCAGGTTAGAATTATCTTGACATATTTACAGGTCACCTCCCCCTTAAAACAGGCTTGGCTGGGCACCTCTCCTTCTGTTTCATTAGTCAGAAAAAAAACCCAGTAAAAGCAATTTATCTTCCTCCACATTAAGAGAGGCTTTTAGGAACTAGATGACCTCAACATGTATAAAGTTCCCAAGACCAAACATCTGATCTGCTGAATCCAGTGAGTGCCAAACAAATCACTCTGACAGACACACCAGAGGAGCTGCTGGTGACGCTGCAGAAACACATCCAGGAGCAGGCAGTGGAAGTGTTAACCATGACGAAGGAAACCGGGAATGTGGGTAGTTTGGCTACGGATTTCTGGCTGCTGTTAAAACAACAGTTGTTCAGTTGCTGCAGCAACAGTATGAAGTCACTAAAAATAAGTTCCAAGAGGTAACTGTATATGGCAAAGGGCAACAGCCCACCGAAAAGCTGCATCTGAAATATTGCTACTGAAAGTGAAAGGCAAAGCTCCCTGAAATCTCTGTGAGGCTGGACAGGGAGTCAGTGTTTTACTGTGCACAGTTCTCAAGCTTATCAGAGAACCAAGAAAATGTTACACTGAGTTTGGCTCAATAAACTGGAGTGAGAAAGGGCAGTGGAATGTACTGAGCACCGGCGTGGCAGCCAGAAAACTCAGGCTACATTTCTCAGCTTGACCATAACTTGAGTTAATGCAAGTCATTTTGTTTCTCTGTTCCTTTGTATCCTTTCCTAATACTAATGATTTAAACTACAACCTCCTAGTGGTGAGGTCTGCTTTTAAACTTGATTTAAACTGCCTGAAGAACAGAGTGTTAATGTCAACTGTATGAACTCTTAAGTACTCACAGTAATAGCAAAAAAAAGCATTCCTTCAAGTAGCACTCTTCTAAAAAATAACCATGTCGCCTACTTCCTGGAAATCAGATCTCAACTGAAATATACTGTGTTAACACTTAAACTAAGTGTTACCAGTAAATAATCCAACTGCACCTTTAACTCATCTCATTATTAATGTCATTTATCTAAAGTTAGCAGTGACACACTCGTCAGCCTGTGCTGGATGACAACAGAAATAACCAGTCCATGAAAGCGGGAGGAGGAGATAAACTGGTTGGGGTGAGGAGAGGGAACTTAAAAAAACAAAAGGATACAGCACAAATGTTATCATGGTTATTCACAACAGCAGTGACTTCGTTTCAACTACAGAAACCCAAAAGCTCAGATGGCAGCAGTCAGCCAGCAGGCTGTAAAAATTCATCCTCTCCATCCTGGGTATTTGCAAAGGAGTTACAAAAAAAACACCACTCCAGGAAGTAGAATGGAAGAAGCATTTTTAGGGATCAAGGCCACTCCACATTTTTTTTCCATCACAGAATGGGAGGTCAAGGAGTGAAGAACAGCAGGTAACTGCATTTTAAATTCCCTGGGTGTAGAAAACTCTGGGTGTTCTAAAAATAAAACCAATACAGGAATAGAACATATTGGATGGCACAAGTTATGAAGAGGAAATAATGAAACTGAGTGAAAAAGCTGTGGTGAGGAGCTGAGGAGGCCTTAATGCTGGTGCTGATTTTGTGAGAAGAAGGCATGGAAAGGGTCAGAAGAAGTGCTGATGGAAGAACATAACTGGAGGATGGGAAAGTGTGCCTGGCAAGTGTATTCAGAGATCCTGACAATGACCATGGGGAAGAAAAAAAAGGGAAGAAGAAATAAAATGGAAAACCCAAACTTGTGTAGCCTCTGGTGCTTCAGAATGCAGGGTGGTCACTAGAACAGAACACTTGTATGACACAAGGATTTCAAAGTAAAATCTTTTACCCTTCAGCAACAACATATTTTAGGGAGGACAGGAAACCTACTTAACCTATTGAATGAGTCTCTGTGAAGCCTCTGCTATGTGAAAAGAAGACGTTTCTGATAACTAAAAAGAAAGACCTGAGAGCAATTCTGATTGCAGGCAGATTTTTCTATCTCCTTTTAAAATCAAGAGTCTTATACAGTGACTAATTCACCTCTTCTCTCTGGAAATAGAACTTAAGCACAGTCTAAGTAGCTGTGGTTTTGCAGGGTTCCAAGAACTTGCACAAAAGTGCAAGGCACTTGATAAATATTTACTTCAACGGTGGTGAAAAGGGATTAGGAATGAAGATTCCCATAAGGTGTAACTTTACAAAGACACATAAGAGACATATTTCACTTCCTGACTGAGTCTCAGCTCCCAGAGCAGGAAGGGTGAGCAGAGTCAGAGAGGAAGCACACTTGGACCTTAGGGAAGGGTGTTCCTTGCAACAATGATCTTTATTCCCACTCCAAGAGCAATGGTGACTAATGGAAAGAACTGACTTTTTAACTGAACTAACTAAGAGTTGTAAAACAGAGAGAAAATACAGGGTGGGAGGTACAAAGAAAGCTCCAAGAAGACCAGCTACCACACCCTTAACCTATAATGCCACAGGAGGAGAGGAAATGCCAGGGCCTCCATGGAAAGTTCAGGATGCTGAACTAGTGTGAGTAGGTGCCCTTTGTTTCCAGGATGTATAAGGAAGGTTATATGCCAGCATCCTCTGGGAGAACAAACTGAAGCTGGGTTCACATGCCCTGTTCTTCACAGGTAAAAAGACCTGGGAGAGGAACAGGATTTGAAAAAGTACATGGATGAGCTTGCCAGAATTCTTCTGCTACACAGCTCAGTGGTTCCCTCCCACAGCAGGGCTGAGAAAGTCACACAGTGAGGAAGGAATTGTTTTCTTGAGCGAAGGGAGAATAAGCAGAAAAGAGGAACAGGTAAAACTGCATAAATGTAAAAACACAAAACAGTCACTTTTCAGCTTCTGATATGCTAAAAGACTTTTGTCTGCAGGCATTACACAACACGTTTTCTGATCTGGAGTGAGGCCCATTCTCTGTTTTCCTCTGTAGATTTTTCAGTAGGTTGATGCTCATCTGTCTGCTGACATCTGCCTTGCCATCAGTGATACAAGTTGCATTCACTGCCATCAGATGAAGAAACCCCACAGGAGCTTCTTATTCAGACAACAAAAACATCCTGCAGGTGATGCTGAACTGTCCTGTCATTAACCAGGGCAGGGAATCCTTAGACAAACCAATAATGCTCAGATAATCAGTGATACAACTCTGGAGAAGTTCCAGAATTTCATGGGCTTACAAGGATTTCAAACAACTGAATATCTGGGCATTATCATTCCTAGTTCTGGATGAACACTAATCATCAAAACCACGTTGATAATTCTGTTATTGTGACAGTGCTAATCCCATTTCACAGATGAATAAACTGAGGGAGAAAGTTTAACAACAACAGTAAAAGTCAACAACAGAGCTGGGATTAAATTTAGAGAATCATATGTTTTAGCAAAGTTAATCAAGGATCACAAGTGGCCACCATTTCTCTTCTACTGGTAATGCTCCAGACACTCCTGGCTTTCCAAGGATCACAGGAATCCCACTCCACCAACAAACATCCAGGTACTGTTGCCCACCAAGTGACTGCAAATGCCTTGTCCCACAGCCTGCTTGTGCTCTCACTTCATCCAGAAACCAACCTTGGGCTGTGTCTCCTGGCAGACAACTCTCAAGGCATCTTGAACAGACATTGCTGCTCTTGGATGAAAGACAGATCATCTTTGCTCACTAATCTTTATCAGGCTACTCAGAAGTTACTGTTTCAAATTTCTTAGAGTTTATTTATGCAACTACAATTAAATCTCATATGTATCAGTGGACTGCTTTAGTCTACACACCTCACCCATAACTCAGCTGGTGACATCTTTATCCAGACTTGGTGGTTATTACTGGTTCACAGGAACCTTGCAGACTCAGAACACAGCATTAATGCTTTAGGACACAGAAGCATATATCATATATAACCACAAATACCTCTGTCCATGTAGGTTCAATATGAATAATGTACCCAATGTAGACAAGCTAATGACTGAGGCAGTCTCCTTAAAAAATACAGAAGCAGTCTGACGTGAAATATTTGCAAATTATTCCTTGGCTCAATAAGAATTGCACACCTCTGCATTTGAAGATCAGTAGCTCAATGAAATTTGTTGAAAATATTGTGCTACTTGAAGAAAAAAACCACATGATCTTTGCAATAAGGAAGTATCTTTCTCCAGTTCATCAGCTTTGGGTTGTTTGGGGTTTTTTTCCTTCCAAATCAGTTTTATGCCATGTGCCAACTGATACATCACAACTCCCCAGAGAGGAGAATTACTCTGGTTTTTCAACCCCACAGCTACTAAGTGGCCAGAGGGATATACAACTCTGAAGATTCATCAGCTGAGATGCTGTTTGCTGTTATCTCACACTTGATCCAGACATGTTTCCATAACAAATCAAGGATGGAGAAAGCCCGGATTTAATAAACAGACTTTTCTGTTATCTTCCCAACCAGAACAGGGAACTCACTGCTGCTGGTGGCCACTAATCAACATATTTAAGCCATGAAATGTGCCTGGGAGTTGACAGATGGCAACTACAGGACCTCAGGTTTTACTGATTGCAATTTAGGGATATTGGCTCCTCAGCTTGTAATCAACCCTTGCACCAACAATTCCCATCAATTTGATATCCACCTGACCAGGACTACGAAGGTTTCTTACACATCACTATATTTGTACAAAGTTAACAGGATTTATATGGATTATATTGGCTGTAGAGTCCTGAGGCTCTCCAAGTACCTGCCTGTATTGTAAAGGCTGGGAAGAGGATGGATGAGGCTCCTGTATCTATAAAAAGGGATTTAAATTATCCTTCAATTAGACAACAGAGTGTGACCACAACTCTTACCTGTAGGTTTCAATTTCCAGGATGAGTCCTGCTTTCACCTGCAGTAGTTCTTGGTAGTCCTTCAGGTAATCCGTGATTGACATGGTCAGGAACTGCTTTTCTTCTTCCAGGGCGTCAATTATTCTCTAAACAGAAATGCTGATTTTTAGTTTTGAATTAACATAGAAATCTGTACACTTCAATGCCTAATAACTTAAAACTTTTAATTAAAAAAAACGTAACCTGAGAGAGCAATAAAATGTTCTATCCCTTCAAAAACCAAAGCAAATCATCTCTAAACCTCCCCATATAACAGCTGAAATAATTGCTACTGAAGCAGAGCTTTATGCTACAGGTTCATTTTATGCCTTAATAAGGCAGTTAAATATTTCAGTAAAACCCATTCAGATGCTCTGTACAAAAGTTATTAAGTATCCATAGCAAGGAAAATATGCTCCTTTATCAATGTGACTTAAATGTGACTCCTTTTGTCACTTTAAGATCTTATTTGAGACCATATTCAGATCAGAAATTTCAGCAACTGCTTTGCCATAAGAAGCTTATCAGTATTTTCAGTTCCACAGACATGTGGGTCCAAACCAGTTTTGGAATTCTAATATCTGGAGACATTCACAGTGCTCAGAAGGTGAAGGACAAACCTCCAGTGGTTCCTTAAATTTTTCTAGAGTATTTGGACACGTGCTTTGAGGTCCACTCACCTCTGTCTTAACTGCTACTACTCAGAAGACAGAGAAGGGATTGCTCATTTTCATCCTGATAACTAAATAAGACCCTGTACAATACAACTGAATACATAAGATTATATATATTTATATTAAGTGGCACAAGAAAGAAAAAAAATTGTATAAAGTGCTTTAATCAGCAGTGCTACCTCTCACATGAAGGGCAAATTGGCATTTATATGTATTTATACTAAATATGACCCTGCTAACTAAAATGCTACAGATGGCACTCCCTTCTGGGGGCTAGAAGGACGGTCATTACAGCTCAGAGGCCCAGTTCTGTTCTGTTGACATCACTCTGCACCACTCAGAGACGCTGAAATGTCGTTTACAGAGCAAAATCTCATGTTCGACACTGAACAGGAATTCACGACAGGGTATTTCAGTTGGCATCCTAATAAATGCTCTGCAATACAAACTAGAAAATCAAGGCACCGATAGCCTAGTTTAAAAAAACTCAAAATATATAACTTATATGCAGCAAGTGCTCAAGTATCACTGTATAAGCAATAGCATAAAAATGAAGATAGAGCAGGGACTCCCCAGATCAGTTAATGCCAGTATGACGTGCAAGGCAGAAGTGAGGTCTAAGAACTAATACTATCAAGTGCTGGCACTCAAACATTAATAGTATTTGGGGGTTTTTTTTAAGTAAAAGTAAAAAGAAAGCTCTATGAAGGAAGCTGCCTGTATCTTCATACACATGTGGGTACAGCTCTCTATATAACACATTAACCTATTTCTTCATTTGCATTTGCAGCTGTTGTTAAATGATTTCACTGATGTTTTGCTTGACACAACAAACCTCCCTTTTTATGGCAGAAGACAAATCCTGTCTGCATGTCTGAAAAAGCCCCAACGGAGGCACCATCCTGTACAGCCACACAGGCAGAACCACTGACCTTTAGAGCTCTGAGGTAACAACCGTGTTCAAGAACTGACACAATGGAAAATCCCAAGGTGAGAAGGGAAGGAAAGGACCAGGCCCTGCTTTTGAAAGGAAAATTCTATCAAGCAACGATGGACAAGGTGCTGACAGAACCAGGAGTCAGCAAAAGGAGCAAAGACAACAGAATGGGTCTCTGTAGGACCAACACTTAAGAGCTCTGATACAACAATTAAGTGCTCCAGGTGTTTCTTGCCTCCCAGATTAAACAGAGATTAACCTACACACGTGCATGCATATGTTAAAAAGAACTTCACAATGCTGCAGTCTCAGAAAAATCCATACAGGAAATCTGTATGCTGGACTGCAGAGTGTGGGGAGCTTTGAAATTCTGGGGATGTTCAAACTCATCTGAAAACACAGGAGACCTCCCTCAGTCCCATATTCTGTAGGCGGGGTTGGAAAAGCCACTTAGATTCTAACCCCTGGATTTGGAGAGCACTGGGGATCCAGAACTTTGAGTTAATGATTACCATAAGGAGCTACATAACTCAGCCAGCTGTGCAGTAGTTCCAAAGGAATTCATTCCACCAGGAGCAGACACTGTATAGACTGAAAGGCAGACAACCAGTCAGCCAGCCCTCCAGTCACTGATGCTTAAACACAAAGCAGAGGACAACTGGTCTCCAGTCCTGTTTCCAAGTGTGCCAGAAGGTACATAAACCACTTTGGCAAAGCTCAGGAGACTACAATCCAACAGGCTCATTTTGCAAAAGGTAACCTGTGCTGTGGCAGCAGCGATGGCTTCTCACAGGGCTCCCTTGGAAAGATCTGTTCCTCAGCTCCATCAGTCCCAGCCCCCCAGACCCAGTGATGTCCTGCTAGAACTAAATAATGGAATAGAAACTATTTTCTCACCCTTCAGATGTTCCTTTCCAGGCAGCAGTGGGAAATTTTAGAAGGGCAGTAGGGGGGAAAGAATTTACTTGGGTTGTCCAAGCTGTACCTACTGAGGGAATCAAAAGAGGATTCCAGGCTCCAGCCCTTTCCATCTGGTCCTACTTAGTGATCCCAGAGCTCATTCAGTGGCTCAGCAGGGGAGGGACCGACACTGCACTTGGCTGGCAAGAAACTGGTGCACAGAAAAATGCACTTGACATGTTGACATTAAATGTTTGTTTCACAAGATGTTTTTTCTTCTTCTCTGGAGCTCACAACACCGGCACAGGAACCGACCCAAACCCGGTGTACCACTGAAAAATACCTGCCTCGTTTCAAAGCAGCAGGATGAGCCATGGATGTTTTTACATCCCAGAAGTACAGGGGTTTCAAATCACCAGGAGCTTTTGCAAAAGTTTTCTCACAGCACACGGCTAAAATTATGGAAGTAGGAGACCTACTGAGTTCATCCCTTCAGCGCTCAGGACCAGTGAACATTGTCCAGTGCATGATTTACAGCTTGCCTGGTTCAGCTAAATTATAACTCCAAATACTTATTTCTATTTAACATTGCTGAAAGCTCCAGTGAGGATAAGGGCAGTGCAGGAGGCAAAGATGGACATATAAGGCAACCAAATGATATATGGAAAATATTAATAAATCTAATTGCCATTGCAGCTGCAATGAAGAACAATCACTTGACTGTAATCTGCACATACATATCATTTCTATGTGACACTCTACAATAAATAAGAATGGAATAGATGCTCTTTAAAGAGTGGTTTAAAAGCCATGCTGAACATACTTTAACCAGTAAAAGAAATGAGTGAGGGGAAAAAAGGCTTTGATCACAAAAACAAAACCAGAAACAGCTGCCTGTACACATTCTGTAATTTTTCTTCTTGGATGTGAGCAGAAGATTTTATTTCTCATGAACAGGAGACTGGACACTAAAAAAGGCCTTTCTCATTAGAAACTGAACATTTTAAATACGAAACCACTCAAAAGAAATAAACCTTGTGGCATTTTTGAATATATATCTAGATAATAAATAATTTCTGGTAGCAATGGTAAGACAGCTCACACGTTTTCATGTTTTCAAAGCACTTTTTTGTTCTTCTTGTATTACTAAAGATTTGAAGAAATTTCTCCTGTAATATCCAAAGCACACCAGATACTTGTGAGAATAAAAGAGAAGTTTGTTATGTTAGTATCAAAATAATCCATTTTGGAGCATTGAATCAGGACAATTCAAGGGCATACACTGATTTTGATTATCTGACTTCTACAACAGGTTGCACCACTTGCTTTTCTGAATAAAATTCTTTAAAAAGACAGACATTTTTTAAAAATTTTTTGAAGATACAGACACAACTGCTATAAAAACACCTGAAAGAGTTAAATACGAGCCATTCTAACTGGTTTTAGAAGAAACACTTGTAGCATGGCTAGTAAGCTGTACAAAATGCTCTCTTTACTCTGTATTCAAAGGTTTTTCAGTTGGAGCAATAATGAGTGAACCTCAACGACACTTTCATTATAAATCCCTAATATCAAATATAGGTAGCAAGAAGGCTGCAGTTTGGAAATCAAAGAAACTTTAAATATTATTGGCTTATGAAGAGGTTTTTTTCTTCCTGGCATTTTCACCTGGCTTTAATTTTCACCTGGATTTAATTAATGAGAGATTTACATAGGACACCTTCTCCTAAAGCTTTGGAAATGTTTATGTACAGGATTGGAGGAATGAATTGTCTTTTCAAAAATGGAAAAAAAATCCATTTAAAAGCTAAGAGCCTTTGGGATTACTTCTTACATACCTAATCTGTCTCAGTTCACAGCATCTGCAAACTATGCAACTTCCAAACAATCCAGCAGAGTACAAAAACCAGACGCGCTCACAGCAACGGGGTCCCAGTCCCTTCCCAGTTGCCAACACATCCATAATCTACTGGGGCTGCTGGACACAAAGGACCCGTTGGCACACGGGGTCCAGGCAAACAGCAGGGTGTTAATAAAGGGTCTAACAATGAACAAAAGAAGTGTAGCCCTCGGGAAAGGGATCGATGGGCTGCATGATCCAATGTGTGCTCTCCACTCGGAGTTTGATGAGCGGATATTTCACTGTTCCGGCAGTTGCTGATCCCTTCCCACGCACATCATCACACCAAATGTCACCCTGAGAGCAAACAAATCCTGGGCTACAGATGCTGTTTAACCACACCAACACCTCAAGCAGGTACCTATGTCCTTCAGGTTTTATTTCGAAACGATTCTCACTGCTCAGTGCCCTTAGCACAGTCCTCCTGTCTTTAAACAACTAAGTTTTCTTAACTAGTCTGGGGAGCGCAAGTTCTCCCCGAGGCTCAAGGCACACAGGAATGTGTGTAAAACGGGAAGAATACTCAGATCATTTCTCTGACTGGGACAGGCCACCCTCAAGCCCCAGGCTGGACGGGATGAGCCCTGTCCCACCGCACAGGGACTCGGTTCATCTGCTCCCAGGGACTGCTCCGTGTCCCATGTGCTCATGCCAAGCCCAGCAGGAGCCCTGGCAAGCCCCGTGTGCCAGCTCCACGATCTTGGGCACTTGCCGAGGGCGGGTTGGGAAGGGAGCACCTGTCACCAAGACGATGTCCTCGGGGTCACTGTCACCTTCTGGTCCCCACCCTTCCCACCCCAGCGGGGTGGGTAAACCCTGGGCCACCCTGAGTCAGAGGAGTTTGGCACCTCCCGGAGCAGAGGGAGCGGGAGGGATGGGAGGGAGTGCCAGGGTCGTGGGAAACCGGGCTCACATCGCAGGTTGGGCCAAAACCGAAGGGAAAAGCGAGGGCGGAAAGAGTCTCACGGGAGCCCTAAAACAGGCACCGGGAGGGCGGGAAGGAAGCGGGAGAGACCCGGGACCGGGGGACATCGCCCGGGCACCGCCACCCACCTGGTACTCCTCCACCTCGGCGCCGTGGCGGTCCTGCAGGGCCAGCATCTCCTGCTCCAGCCGCTCCCGGAGCGCGCACAGCTCCTGGCCCTGGCGGTGCAGATCCTCCAGGTGCTGCCGGCACTGCCGGCTCTCCTCCCGCAGCAGCTCCACGTTCTCCCGGCTCCGCTGCGCCTCCTGCTCCTGCAGCATCTGGATCTGCTCCTGGTAGCGCAGCAGGGTCTCCTGGCAGCACTGGCCGAGCAGCATCTCGTAGGTCTCCTCCAGCTCCTCCAGGCTCAGCCCGGCCAAGGGCGGCGGCAGGGCCGCCAGGTTCAGCCGCAGCTCCCGTATCTCCACCGCCTCCCGCCGCTGCCGCTCCGCCATGTGCCCGTGCTCGGCCTGCAGCTCCAGCAGCAGCTCCTCCAGGGCCACGCACTCGCCCCGCAGCCGCTCCAGCAGCGCCCGCTGCCCGGCCAGCTCGGGCTCCAGGCGCCGCCGCATCCCCAGCACCTCCGCGCCCAGCGCCCGCAGCTCCTCCAGCTCCCGCCGCAGCCCGTCCCGCTCCAGCTCCGCCTCCAGCTTCGCCCGGCTCAGCTCCTCCAGCTGCATCCGCAGCCAGGCGAGCTCCTGCTCGGGCACCCGCAGCCCGATCAGCTCCTGCTCCCGCAGCTCCGCCAGCTCCCGCGCCAGAAAGCGGTTCTCCTCCTCCAGCTCCCGCACGCGGGTCACGAACACCCGCAGCCGGGAGTTGAGCTCCTGCAGCTCCCTCTTCTCGTCCCATCCCGCTTCCCAGCGCCGCCACATCTTGCCTGGTTGGCGGGGTCGGAGCCGCGGTGGCCCCGGGGCTGCGGGCACTGCGCGGCTCCTGCGGGACCTGCGGGATCTGCGCGGCGAGCGCGGCCCCGCCCCGGCCTCGCCCCCGGGACAGACCACGCCCAGTGAGCTCCGGTCACGCCCACGGCCACAGGCCCCGCCCCGGCCCCGCCCCGGCCCGCGCCGCTGCCCTGCGGCGCCCCCTGGCGGGCTCCCGGCGCCTCCCGCCACACTCTGCTGAGCGGGAACCAGAGCCGGGCTCAAACAGCAGAGCCGGGCTCAAACAGCAGAGCCGGGCTCAAACAGGAGAGCCGGGCTCAAACAGGAGAGCCGGG